GCTGTTTAGAGTAGGTGAAACAGTGGAGCTAATATTTTCAAAGGATGTTCATTTCCCAGTCAGTGAGACTTTTCCGAGTCTGTCCCGCTGGGGACTTGGATGTGGTCTGTGCTCATAGATCTCTGTTTGTCTGGAGCAGATATCATCGGCCTGTCGGGCCTCATCACTCCCTCTCTGGATGAAATGATTTATGTGGCCAAAGAAATGGAGCGACTTGCAATGACAACACCCCTGCTGATTGGAGGAGCCACCACATCAAAGTAAATCAGCCATGTGCCTTTTTAGGAACCCTGCAGCCGATCAATGTGTCACCATTTGGTTTGCAGGATTTAATGTCATGTTTTTTTGTGTAGGACACACACAGCAGTGAAGATTGCGCCGTGTTACAGCTGTCCTGTTGTCCATGTCCTCGATGCCTCCAGGAGTGTGGTTGTGGTAAGATTATTCATCAGTAAACATTTAAAATCAGTAAACATGCCATGAACAGAACAGCTGGCATTTGTTCAGAAAGTTGAGGTCTCTGCTGTAATTCCAACTTCCTGAAACATATTTGACTCGGTGGGAACGTGTCATTTAGCTCGTTAAAGCACATCCTTCCATGTATGTTAGTGTATCTATAACACTCGGTGCGGAGGAGCAGCGGCTCAGCGCCGAGGCCCTTTTTAACGGGGGTGTCCAGTCATCCTGCAGAGGAAGCTGGTTACATCCACTTGTATCCAGGATCAGGCATGACATGGATTTCATGACCAGAGAAGAGACTGGGAATGTAGAGTGTCATGCTACCTGAGAGTTTTGCCTTTCTGCTCAGCCTTCTCTTCACCACAACAGACCGGCTGCTGCACCAATCAGTCCATCAGTCTCCTGCCTCGTTTTACCCACATTCATTAAACACGAACCAAAGAAAGCTGAACTCTTCCCCAGGCAAGAATTCCCTGGTGACTTTAGAAGGCAGGTCGCTTTTCTAGGGAACTGTAACTGACTTGGAGGAGCAGCTTCCCACTCAGCTGTGAGCCGCTCCGGTGAACGCTGCAGGTCAGGACTAGAGAGTCAGCAGAAAGACTGTAACCATGAAATTTCATTTACTTTTAGTTCAGTTTATAAATATTTGGCCAATTCACAAAAACGGGGAATTTCAGGATCAAAACAAACAGATTGGATGGAGTCAAAGGCTCTTCTGCAGAGACGGCTGCTTGCAGACTGTGCAGCCATTCCTCATAACAGGTAGAACCAGAACCAGGCCGATGTGAGCAGCCTGCTGCTGCGGCCGGCTGGGTTCTGAGCAGAAGGATCTAAGACACAGAGGAACACGGGATGCTGACGACCCGCCGTCTGTCTTCTGACCTCATTCACTGTTTCCAGCAGCTTCCCAGGCTGCAGCAATTTCCTCATAACACCATTGATGTTGATGGGGATTATTTGCAGACCCACTGCTGAACTTTTCAGCTGTTTTGTTGTTGAACTAAAGGTTTAAGTCTGCTGGGATTCATCCCATTCTGCTTCTGTCACAGTGCTCCCAGCTGCTGGAGGAGGGAGCCAGGGAGGAGTATTTTGAGGACGTGAAGGAGGAGTATGAGGACATCAGGCAGGAGCATTATGACTCCCTGAAGGTGAGAGCTGCAGAGTCTTCGGTTCCAGGAATCCTTTCCCACCATCCGCCGGTTCTTGGATCATGAATTGGTGGAGCTTAAAATAAAAGCAGTTTTTTTCTTCCCTGTAACGCCTCCAGGAGCGTCGCTACCTTTCTCTCTCTGAGGCCAGACAGAAGGCTTTACGTGCCGACTGGGCCGCTGCGCCCAGACCAGGTGAGTTGGAACAGATCGGAGGATTTTAAACCACTGGAATGTTTTACTAGGATTCACCTTCCAGAACTGTTTGTCTTTGTGTTACAGTGCGCCCTCAGTTCCTGGGCACTCGTGTGTTTGAGTGTTACGATCTGAACGGTCTGCTGGACTTCATCGACTGGAAGCCTTTCTTTGACGTGTGGCAGCTCAGAGGGAAATACCCCAACAGAGGATACCCCAAGATTTTCAACGACAAGACTGTTGGTATGGACCGCTTTTAACCTTTCAACCTGCGGGGGTTCTTCCACCCATTTATCCTGCCTCCTGAGGGCGGTTCAGCTCAGAAAGCGGTGCGACGGTGCAGGAATACGCCACAAAACCAAAGTTAAACCGCAGTTAGATTGATGACCTCATCGCTGTTGATCTTTCACAGCCATTGGGAACAGAAATGTAGTTCAATCCACCTGCAGGCGACCGGAAGATCAGAATGTTTAACACGCTATATATACCCTGGTTCTCCTGGGAAATGTCTTCCTTCAGGTGCAACGATACACAGGTGCAATTTGTCCACTGGGGGGCGCCAAAATCAACCAAAACTGAAAATTCTTTAGAACTGTTTTGACTCGGTAATATTACTTATAAACATTTATGACTTCAATGTGGGATGCTGACTTGAGTTTTAGTTCGGATCTGCTCAGTGCCAAAAACAAAAATAAATATTTAACTGATGGTGGAAGTTTAACCCGCAGGAAAAAAAGCCGCCAACATGGCAGCCTGGAGCTCAGCCCCCCCCAGCAAGAACCAGGGGTACCAAGGTTCCCATTCATCCCTGATAAGTGTAATTTTTTTATGCAGATTTTATCGTTTACTTTTTTTTCACTTGGGATTTCTCATATTGCATATTTTTCTAATTGCTTCTTAGAAAAAAGCAATTAAAACAAGAATTAAATTCGTAAAAAAAAAATCAATCAAAAAAAGAGAAATTGAAAAATAATTGTAAAAATAAAAAATTTGTAATAAAAGATAAAAACTGATAAGACGATTCGAAAAAATAAAAAGGTATGGAAAATTAATTTGAAAACGGCTGAAAGAAGAAAATTTGAGGGAAAAAATGTAAGTTTTGCCTAAAAATATTTTTTGGTTCAAACATTTTTAAGTTTTATTTGAAACAATAATGGAGCAAAATTTACTCCATACACTCTTACTAACATGCTTAGTCCTGATGAATGAATGAATCGTTCATTTTTATTGTTTTTGTGGTATAAAAGTTGCCATTTTGGGTCATTGTTAAAGTTTTTTTTTGCTCTGATCGTTAATATATCTGGTCTGGTTTTTATTTTACTGACTAAAACCTTGATTTAAGTTTTTTTTAAAGTCACTTTGAGTGTTGAAATTTTGTTATTTGTTGAATCTAAACAGTGATTGGATAATAGCTTTTAGTTGGAATTGGATTTTTACTCAAATCTTAATAATAAATCATTTAAAAGATGACTTCTGTTCCACCAAATAGATGCTTTAAAAACAGAAATGTTATTTAAAAAAAGGCTGATTATTTGGATACTTACAGATTTCTTTGAATATCATTAGATTTATATCTGACCTAATGGATTTGAAAAAAAAAAGTATTTAAAGATCATTTTTAACCTATTTTCCAGATAATGTTTTAGTTCCAATCTTTCCAAACCTTCAGCCTTTCTACCAACTATGGTTCTTTCTGGATTTTAAAAGAAGAAACTTTTAAGTGAAGAAGAGCGACTCGTCCACCATGATGGTTCTGCTTCTGTTAATCTGAGCAACAGATGTTAATCTGAGCAACAGATGATTTACTGGCGTTCTAGAATAATCCATATTCCCAGATACTTCATGTTTCCAGTTTTAAAAGGAATAGTTGGAAGGAGATGAACTTCAGCGAAGGCAGGAAGGACTTTATTAGTTTTCTGAAATGGGTTTATTCTTTCAGAAAGAACTCCACATCCTCGGCGTAGAAACCAACCTATTTCTCTTTCCCAGATTATCTATGGATGAACGGATTTTTTAAAGCAAAGCAAAGTTTAATCTGTTGGCAGCTACTGATTTGAAGCTCTTTTCTTCTACATCAAGTTTCCTTTCAGCGTGGCTCAATGTTCCGTGTTGTTAGTTTTTAAGGGGGAAGCAGAACATCCTCAATAAATGTTTTTCCCATGATGCTGCTGTACGCCGTGACATAAGCGTACGGCGTACGGCTTGTTTTCCCTAAACATCTCTGGTTTTCCTGGAAGGTGCTGAAGCTCGCAGAGTCTTTGATGACGCCCAGTCGTTGCTCCATCGCATGATCGACAGCCGCAGCCTGGAGGGGCGGGGCCTGGTGGGTTTCTGGCGCGCACAGAGCGTCGGCGATGACATCAATGTGTACGAAGACGACGACGACGTGGTTCGGAGTGATGTAAAACCCATCGCCACTCTTCACGGCTTACGGCAGCAGGTGAGACTCGCGGTCTGTAGTTCAGCGCCGGCTTTACGGCAAACATGGAAGCTGTTTATCGTTTGGTGTTTATTGGACAGGCGGAGAAGGACGGCTCCAGCTCAGAGCCCTTCCTGTGTGTTTCTGACTTTGTGGCGCCCGTGGAGAGCGGCGTGGCCGACTACATTGGGATGTTTGCTGTAGGCGTGTTTGGAGCCGAGGAGCTGAGTCAGCAGTTCCAGACCCAGGGAGACGATTACAGCAGCATCATGGTCAAAGCTCTGGCTGATCGATTAGCTGAGGTAAGGTCTGCAGGAGGAACGCGGAGTTCAGAGGTCACAGCCGAGGCAGGATGATGTAACCGCCGCCGCTGTGATCTCTGGTTCACAGATAGACGAGGCAGTAGGGCGGCAGCTAACGGTTATTTTGAAAATCTTAATTTTCGAATAAATCAATAAATAAACGGATAGAAAAAGGTTCCTAAAAAAGATTTTTTATGAAATTAAAGCAGGTGAAACAAAAGCTTTTCCACCTCAGGAGTTCTGGATTATAGAGCATGTTTTCAAGAGAAAAATATTTTTTTTTATCATCAAAATGTTTATTTTTTACAATCTTGATATAATTGCTGCTCTAAGAGGGTCGCTCTATCAGATAAAGGCTGGTTTTAGACTCTCTGTACTCCAGTTAATGATTATTTCAATAATCAATTAATGACGAGTCATTGTTTCAGCCCTATGAGGCAGCAGTCTCCATGGAGACCAGGGCGCCGTTTAATCCCATCATCAACAAACTGATGTTTGGATTATTGTCGGGTTCCGCTTTCCTCTTTTTCAACAATTTAATCATTAGTTTTAAAGAAAAGTTCCGTCAGCAGGAATAGTCAATGGATTATTATTTATACCTAAAACTAATACGTTCACGTTGATTTAATAAATTTAGCGTTAATCGGTAAT